GAAACCTGCACGCAGCTCCGCGGGCTGAGCGCGGCCGCAGCAGGCTCCGACGGGCCGGGGAGCACAGCCCCCCTTCTGAACGCACAGCCTAGGATTTACTAATCTGTTTACACAGTTAAAAATGCCTAATTACTGCTTGTGACGCTACAGCGCTGCCACCCCCCTCGACCTCCCCTGCACAGGGAGATAAGGAAAGTAGCTAGGAAAGGGTTGAAAAGAACCTAACAATGTAATTGAGAAAAAACCTCCTTTTCCTGCCCCCAGTCCCACCCCCAGCAAAGCAGCAGCACTGGGCAGCATGGCATTTTTATGCATAAGCTAGTTGCTCCAAATTGTGTGTTTAAGCTTTCTACACAGTGAATGCATGTCACTAATGCTGACAATAGCTTATGCGTTTTCAGGCAGGCAGTTACTAAGTCCTAGCTACGCTCGTCTACAACTGAGAAAAGATGGGGTAGCAACACTCGTTCAGGTTTATTTTCCACCATACTACCCTGAAGTACAGTTGTGTAGACTGAGCAGAAGCAAGTCTTAGAAAATCAGGTAAGGCTGTTTGGATGTAGTTATGTCAGCTATTATATTGATACAAAACTCTATTGCAATGATCCAGTGTAGATACTATTGTAGAACTATAATTTATTCTTAAATCTTTCGGTAGGTCTTGGTTAGCATACAACAGGACGGATAAATGAGACAAGCACAGTGGTTTAGCAGTTAAGTAATAAGTGGAAACAGAAAGTTGGACTTTGCATTAGTCAGGTTAATATGTAACTGAAGAACAGAAAACTTAGAAAGTTACATCTTTGGAAATTAGAAACAAGACAGGACTTTCAATGGGCAAAGGTCAAAGCTGGCCTACTCCTTACCTTAAAAAAAAAAAAGTATTTGTTCCTTACAGCAATGAGGATACAGAAATATCTGTTACTAACATAACATAGCCTCATTTAAAGAAGGTTAACATAGATTACACTCTGTGGGGAGTAAGAATTTTATACTTGTGAGAAAGTCCAGAGAGCGCTCCTGCTGCACTGAAGCTGTGTTCACATGGAAGTTCTTTTCCACAGATGAAGTAACTTTAGAAACTAATTTCTAAAGATTCGATGAATTAGGTAAGATTTTATTCTACGTTACCTACACATTGGCATGACTAGCACAACTGCATCTGTGACAGCTCCAGTTGGAATTCCATCACTGGGGCCTCCGATTAAACCTTCGTGACATTTTCACAAGCCAGAAGCCAGGGCACAGAAGCCAGCTGAGCTAGCTGTTGAATATCATTGCTCCCAGTTGGACATTATAGGCTACAATGAAGTTATATCCCTCACCTGCCTTATTATGCAGTTCCTTGGAGGAAAAATGAAGACTTCCTCCCCTCCATCTTCTGCTGCTCACGGTATAAAACCAGGCTTCTTGCTAATTAGGCTTTTGCATCCTATACACATCTCTTCTGCCTCATTGGAGTCCCAAACCCTCCACACAGGAGGTACTCCTTGGTCTTGTGCACATCCTCACAGACCATCTCCATTTCCCCCTCCCAGTACCCTTAGCTCCCTCAACTGGGGATCTCTGTTTAAAGCATGTGATCTGCAAACTGGCACCTCAGCTGTGGGAGCTGACAGGCCAGCCAATACAGAAACTGTGAACTTTCCTAGTGCAGATATTAGCTCATTCCCAGCTGCCCAGTTTATTAAACGTGTTTGAGATGGGCTAACATGTTAAATGAGTAGAGGAAGGATGTCTAATGGACACAACGTAAGCTTCATTTTTTTAGGAAGCTATGCTAAAACACAAAAAAACAACCAACCCACACCCTTAGGACAAACCAGACATTTATTTATCAAAATAATTTGCAGAAGTTAAAACAAGCTACACAACTGGCTGTAAAAAAGGCACATGTTCTTTCCTTCCAAATAAAACCATAATTGGCATCTTCAAAAAAAAAAAATATTTTTAGGACTTCCACAGGAAGATTTTACACAAATTTGGCAGTTTTTACCATTGATCACAAAAGCTAGCTGAAAATGTGAAACATGCTTATTTCCTTAATTCTTTATCAGAAGCTAGAACTACAAACATGAAATTATCACACAAGTTACATTGTGGAACACATTAAAATTCACTGAAAGAACACGAAGGACTTGAACAAAGCCTTAAAGAAAGTCAGGATAAAGGATTGGTATGTATAAGTGATATCTCTATAAGATCTGATGTCAGACATATGTTTGTCCTGTAAGACTACAGGCTATTTGCACATTAAAATACACATTCTGCACTGGAATCTGATGATTCTTCTAGGACCTTGAAGACGCCCATTTTTTCCTTTTTAACTGTTTCAGAAGTTTTCATTTGATCTAGGATAAAAAACAATGATGAACAGTAACAGATGATCATCTGCAATCTTTCTATTCAAGTACAGTAATGCAGAGAGAAAAGTCCATCTAGCAAAGGGAGGGAACGCATTTTTGTTTCATCCGGACTTGAAAAGCAAGTTCCTTGTTTAAAAATCATATTGCTCATTTATAAACAGTCAGCAACCAAAGATCTGTGCTTGGAAGTTATTTCTCTGTTGCGTACTTTAAAAAACAAACAAAAACCCCACAGCCAACACCTCTGACTAGATCTGAATAGAGATAAGCAGCTTTAAGTCTGCCTGTACCAGTTTTGTCTTCCTCAGAAGAAAACAATGCAGTAAACCTAGAGAGCAAAGTCATAGGGAAAAAAAGCGCAGAAAGTTATAGCCTGCTATCTATGGTTTCCCCCCCACCCCCCAAGAATTAGAAGGTCATCCCAGTGAATATAAAGTAAAAAAAAAAAAAAAAAGTACTGTCCTTCTGTCAGATTTAATTATTGTTTACAGGGGTAGGGGGTGGCATTTCAATTTCTAAAGCATTTTTTGCAGCTAATTCTAGCAAGTATTCAGGACATAATGCTAGAGTAGTGTCTTTTTCCCCTTTTTATGGCAATTTTAATTCACTTCCACTTAGTATAATTAAGAAAATATTAATAAACAACCATTATAAAATGTGGTACACACTAACACACAAGATAAATGGCACCTTTTCCAACCTGAAAGGACAAATCAGGTTGTTTTAAAGAGACGACTTATGTAAGCTGTTTCAGCCTGAACTTGTAAAGATAGAGGTGGATCATATTAAAATCCACCATCAAGAACCATTCTCAAGAGCAACAGTCAGCTAACTGAAAGAGGCAGTTTTATGAAACCATTTCCTTAGATAGTCTAGGAGAAATTGTCAAGTATAGTAGCTGTTGTTTTCTCCGAAAGCAAGCTATACATAATTACAATTGTTTAAGGCTAGCTTTGACTTTCACTTGAAATTCTTTAATGACTAATTTTTCTACATCTATGTTTTTACATTTATTTGTCCTAAAGATGCTGAAGGAAACAAAGCATACCAAGTTTAAAGGAACTGGACAATAATTTTCTCCTTTCTCAGAAAAGATCTTATCCTGATCAAGAATGAGAATTTACGCAAGCAGACAGCCTAAAAAGCTTTCTAGGTTTGATCCACTGATGCAAGCCATGATAAGTCTGAAAACTCCATTTTTTTTTCCCCCAAAAAATGTTATTAGACATTTCAAGATGAAATTAGTTCTGGTAGTATCAAAATACGTTTTTAAATAAGCAAATTTTCTGAAATAAATGCTCTTCTGAGGATAATTTCTGTTTTCACAGAAACCTCCAAGAAAGCTGCTTTGCAGAATAGCTCCTAATCTATGCTCTTCATTCACACAAGCACACACTACGTTTGAATGTGGTTTTCTGGAATCCTTTCCAGTTTTATTATTTCCTCTTTGGCAGATCCAATTGGAAATGCCAGCAAATGGACCAAAGGACCTTTGTATATCCACCATAGCTGCGGGGAAGTGAAGCCATGACAGTTTTCTATGTATAAAGACTAATGACTCTAAAGGCTCTAATAAAGAAAAACTATTTATAAATAACGATTTTAACTATCAAAGAGAAAAATTTGATGAAAACTAACTTACCAATAAGATCACTTCTATCCAAGAGCAACTCTAGATCTTTATCACCGATTACTTTTTCTTTAGATCCTTTAACCTCTCTGTTGAAGAAGAAATAATATCTCTTAACACAGATGAAAGCCCGTTACACAGTTAATATTGCACAGAACTCAGTTTTCTGCATAGCAGAATCCCCAGGACATTCTTTCCACTACTAAGATCCACATACCACTGTGTAAGACAAGAGAGCTATCTTTTTGATACCTATTTGCAAGCTGAAAGTTATAAACTTACGGTTTTAAGAAAAATGTGAAAAATCAGCATACCTTTCATAGTCTCTGGATTTCAGTAATTCTATTAATTCCTGAGGGTCCAAGCAGCTCTTTGATTGTGCTAGACCAGATTTGCCACCTTTAAACTGATCTGTGTGGGGAAAGAAAAAAATTTTAGGAAAGTACAGAGGCAGAAACATTAATAAATCCTGTCTATCAACAATGCTAGAGGCAGAAACATTAATAAATCCTGTCTATCAACAATGCTGGAGGAACAGAGAGAAATAATCTACTCTTGCACATCCAAACTACCTCCTCGAACTAATGTGATGTTTCACTGTTTTAGCCCTCAGTTAAATGCAACTTAAGTTTTGAGGCTAAATGGTTTAAAAAAAGTATGTATCAGAGGTGCATGAAGAGTTTACATGCAGGCCTTCCACTTTCCTAGCCATAGTATGCAGAGGAACTGATTGAAACACCAACTTGACATGCAAACACGCACACACAGAGCAGAAAAGCCATTAGTTCTACTTACAGTAAAAACATTGCTAATAAAGATAGATGGTTGGAGTTTGCTTCCCTTATAATGTAAGCTGGTTGAAACAAAGTAAGCAGCATTAAGGGTTACAAGATAGGAAATATGGGAAAGATATGTTGTTTCTTTGCAGAACATACCTCAGTTTAATAGATTAGACAGACATGACTTAACACATCCAACATAGGCTGGTTTCTTCAAGAGATCATGTTAACACCTATCTACAAGTGAATCTGGATGTCTGCCCAAATATCCAAGAAATAATACAAGATTATTACCTAACTAAAGATGAACATGAACAAAACCAAGCTCAATCACGCATATTCCAAGGAGACAGGCAAGTCTTGGAGCGTCCTGTGCTCAGACTCTGCTAAGCTGCTTCTGTTTTTGTTAACACATGAGCACATTTTATTAGTGAGTCTTCATCATGCCCTTTCCTCACACTTTTGTTCTTTCTTATATCTTGGTTTCAAATTTCCTCCCAACCCCCTGCCCCATCTCCCTCGAAGGACTAGCTGTTTCTCTGTGAAGTGCAAATTGGAGACAAGTTCCAGAGGGGTTTGAGCTATAGGATTCTCACTAAAATGCATAGGGTTTTTTTTCCCCCCCCTGAATATATGTATACTATGGGAAGTTTCTAAATTCCTTACTGTTTAATATAAGGATAATTGTCAGAGGCCTATACCAGATTGCTAGAATTGCTATATTTTTAAAGCGAGCTTAGTATTTGGGAAATGCTACAGTGAACTAATGTTTGAATATGGCAAACAGAACAAGCTACAGAAGCAGAGCAGAACTTCCTCTAGCACCTAAACAACAGAAATTTAGCCCAACAGACACTTCAGTGCCATCGTTTTCTTAGACTTAAGCCCTGCTAGATAATCAATAATGCAACAAGAACCACCATTGTGCTGGATGTAGAATAAAAGACTACTGTTCAGTTCAGTGCTCGTTAATTAATGGCCCCAAAAGGATTTTTTTTCCCCCCCTGTGGTTATCACAGAGTACTCAAACTCGGAAGGACAAATGCAGACAGAACGCTGTAATTTTGTGCGGTGATTTCACAACTCTAGGATTTGCCCTCCGGACCAAGTTCAGTAGAAACCTCCAGAAACCAACTTTCAATAGTCTCTATCAATTTTACCAGTTTTAGTAGGCATACTCTCTACTCAAGCAAGTTTGCCAGCATAACTGGAAAGCCCATCTCCAAACTTCACATCATGAAAAACATGTAATATACTATATTGCAATATAGTAAACTGCTAGCAGTAAGATTTTTTTTATCTGATTTTCCCTTTATCTTCTGGTTGACTTAATTTGATTAAAAAAAGATGATAATCAAGTCAGACTTGTCATTTACCTCCAGCCTTGACATTTTCCTTCTTAGAAGTCTAAAAACACTTGGGTAGAACAAACTGTCACCTTGCCAACAAGCTGCCAACAAGCGGCCTGGTTACACACGTTTCTTCCAGCCAGGCTCACTGCCCTATCACCCCTTTTTTTCCCCCATAAGAAACGGCCATAACATGCTGATCCCAGAATTACTGGAAGTACTCTTCCTTCATTTCCCGAAGACATGACCTGTAACACGTTAAAGAATGCATTTAGGAAGGCAGTACTATATAGCTACCTGTTGGATAGATGAAGCTATTTGCATTTGAGAAGAAATACTAAAGGGTCTCAAACAGAGCAGTAAGTTCTCTCCTGGGATTTAAAGAAATCTTTTTTTTTTTTTTTAAACACGAAGACATAAAGAAAAATACTAACTTTTGTGTATAATCAGCTTCTCCAGCTTCCTCTTGGCAGCGGCTCTCTCCACAATCTTCTGGTCAATAGTATTTGCTGTCACAAGACGATATACAACCACTGGCTTTGTTTGGCCAATTCTGTGACATCTGTCTTGGGCCTGCAAGTCTGACTGGGGGTTCTGAATAGATTAAAAAAAGTTAATAATGCAGCTAACTTAATTTCTTTAAGAACCGTACCACAGGGAGCATTTTTAAGCAGTGAGCTCCGAAGGTCAGACAGAGCTGAAGCAAGCAGCTGGAAAGCTATGGTACAACTCAGCTCCACAACTACTTGCATTTAACCTAGCCCATGCTGAGCTCTGCTGCTACAGCTCTGTAGCTACAGAGTTGGGGTAACCTGACTAGCTTGACTGCTTCAGCACTTTATGATGCAGTTTAATAGGTGGATACCTTTTGCATTAAAAATTTATCTGAGGTTGTTAGCTTTGTTGTAGGGGGAGAGGAAATGGATTTAAAATTTTTCTTTTTCCAGTGCCATTCCTGAAGTTCCTTTAGCTTTCCTGAAAGTAAATGCAGTTGTGCAATCAGCAGAGCTGTATATTAAAAGAAAGTGAAGAGGCAGACATCCTCCATTCCCCTTCCAGACACTTCCTTCCATACCTCTTTTCTTCCCAGCCTTCCCCACACTTGCATGAGCAAGAGGATCCTAGCTAGCTAAAACATGGATGGCAACTCACAGGAAGAAATTTGAAGGCCTGGTGCTAACAACCCAGCTGTTGGAACTGGGGAACTTGCAGAGTGCCCAGCAGCTTTCAGACTTCTTAGTAAAATGAAAGAAGGAAACACATCTCCAGAAGTAACAGAACAACTCCTCTTGCTTTTGGTATAATTCAGGGGACAAACAAGTTGGCCTTGCAAAGCAGCTTTAGGTTTGTGTTGGATAAGCTAGGACGTTTTCACCCTGGGCTTTACAGGTCATAAAAAGCCTGTTTGCATATGCAGCTTATGTTGTCATCACATAATATTTCATTAAAGTAAATTATGGGTTACTTAATGATTTCTAAGAGCAGCAACAGAGAAAGCATTTTATGACAAGCGTCATGAGGTAAATACTTCTCAACATACCCAGTCACTGTCGTAGATGATAACTGTATCTGCTGCAGTTAAGTTAATGCCCAAGCCTCCAGCTCTTGTACTCACTAAGAACAGGAAGACTTCAGGGTCAGTGTTAAATTGATGCATCTGGAAGAGAATTTATCTATTACAAACAGCAGGCAGATCAAACAGAATGTAGCAAATGTTTTATTTAAAAAAAGAACAAAAAACTTGTGTTTAAAGTTTAACAAGAAGAACACAAATACAATATAAAACATGCTGTCAGAGGTCAAATTAAAGGTCTAAGAAACATTGCACGCATCTGGGACAACACAAGATCACGAAGCGAAGCAACTGTATTTTCCTACCTGATGATTCTGGCCAATGAGTTGTCCAACAGAGAGGAGACTACTACAATGACATATGGCCCAAATCACATGCATCTCCACATAATCTACCATCCAATTACATTTTGTTCTCCAAAGCAAGCACAGTCTATGCTGGCAAAGCCTAAATACCTATCCACCTCTTGACACAAGCAGCAATCTAAAAAAAAAAAAACAGCAGCCAACTTGACTATTACTTCCAATGAGGCTGTACACCTCCTCCTCTTACAGAGGAACTAGGAGTAACTTCCCAGCCTCATGCTCACCATCTAAGCCTGCTTTCACTGCAAGACGCTCCCAACTGTCAGCACAGTTCCTACTAGGTCTACAAAACCAGTTAATTCCTAGCTTACTTTGTCTCCAGCGGGTACATACAGCCAGGGGAGACAGCATGCAACATGGCTATGGAGGCTTCTCTTGCACCTCTCCTGGGAAGCTTGCATGCTTGACTGGCTCTCCGAAATGCCTGTATACCAATGCACGCAGCATGGGGAATAAACAGGAAGAGTTAAGAGTTCTGTGTGCGGTCGCAGGGCCATGATCTCATTGCAGTGACAGAGACATGGTGGGATAGTTCACGGGACTGGGATGCTGTCATGGATGGCTATGTGCTTTTTAGGAAAGACAGGCCAGGAAGGCGAGGTGGTGGAGTTGCTCTTTATGTGAGGGAGCAACTAGAATGTATGGAGCTCTGCCTCGGCGTGGATGAAGAGCAAGTTGAGAGCCTATGGGTAAGGATTAAAGGGCAGGGTAACATGGGTGACACTGTTGTGGGGGTCTACTACAGGCCACCTGATCAGGAGGAAGTCATCGATGAGGCCTTCTACCGACAGCTGGAAGTAGCCTCACGATCACAGGCCCTGGTTCTCATGGGAGACTTCAACCACCCTGACATCTGTTGGGAAGACAGCACAGCTAGGCACAAACAGTCGAGGAGGTTCCTGCAGAGGATTGATGATAATTTCTTGAC